GCACTTTATTCCGAAGGCTGAATACCTAACCTTATTCCTTTTGAAGGAATAAGGTGCTTTGAAATCAAAATATTGAAAGCAAACAAACAGTATACCAAAAAGGAAAGAATGAATTAAAAGTTGAGTTTTGTTTGCTCCTTATATGCATCATGCAATATATATGCATATGATGCAAGATCCTAGGAGGTCAACAATAACCGATAGAGTATAGTAGGTAACAGTTCTATTGGTCCTGTTTGAAAATCTCGACAGTGATCCTCAACCCATCGGGGTTCGTCGTGGAAATTAATTCTGCGTTAGATCCTATGATCTCTGTTCTATAGTAGGATTTCCTATATATCTTCGATCACTAGATTCCGGGTATCCCGACTGACCCTTTCCTCCAATAATATTGTGTAGTTTCTTGCTTATCTGCGAAACTGCAGGTCTGCTAAATGAATCCCACAATCACACGTCACTCTTGCTCTCGGTAGCATTTAATCAATGCCATGGGTGACTGAGCCTGCACTACCTCGATGTAGCACCAGTTGCGTAAGTGGGCGGTCTGCGGAAAGGTCGCCGACTCCACTGCAGAAAAAATCTTCATATATCCTCAATGTTATCTGGTAACAAACGAAACATGTTAGTCCTGCCTTTCGATGTTCATTTCAAAATATCTGAATTTAATGTGAAATTTCAGTAAGAGGGTCTACTTTTCAAAGCCTTCTACACCTTCAACATGACTACCATTACTTATTTAGGAATTATAATCTTCCTATCCTTATCCTTATGGATTATCTACGGTGCCACATATCGTCTCTATTTAAGTCCTATTGCCAAGTTTCCAGGACCAAAACTTGCCGCTTTGACGTTGTGGTATGAGTTCTACTTCAATGTCATACGTGATGGACAATGGCTTTGGGAAATCAAACGAATGCACGAAGAGTATGGTATGTTTAGTCGCATTCTTGCTGATGTTGTGTTGTGACTGAAAATCGCAGGCCCAATAGTGCGCATCAATCCTTATGAATTGCATATTGATGATCCGGAGTATTATGATGAACTCTATGCGGGAAATACGAAAAAACGTGAAAAGTAAGTTTGTGAGCAAGATTACTGTGTGAACGAAGTGAATGACTTCAATTCAATTACTACTGTAATAAAGAACTAGGCGAACGCGAAAGAGACTAGCTCTTTTAGTAAGTCTATATAAGACTTACTACTTTCAATATGTAGCTAGCTCTTTAGACAGAATACAATTAGACATACAGGACCTACGTAATCCGTGGGTGCTACGTCTTCCGTATCCTTCTCGTACCAACAATTACCTTATTCTGCCCCAGGGTTTGCGATAGTTCGGGACTATAGTCAATAGCAACATGAAACATTCAAGTGCCCAAAACAATCTCGAAGACTGAAATATTTCATATGTACTTTGTCATTCGGTAACATCGGACACACTGCACTCCCCAATTTGTAGTCCCGGGGTCGATGAATTGCCTCTCTTACCATTTTCTCATTTTTTAGCTATTGAAATTCTACTTCTTTCTTGTAGGTTAGGGAAGCGTAGAGCGGGCCATTGGATGGCAAGAACGGTTAATATCTGCAAAGTTGCACTTGATATCATTGTCTTCTACTTGGAAAAGGTCTCTGGATTGTGTATAGACTATTATACTGACTGAGAATGACAGGTATCTATGGTTCGCCCGCTCGACTGGTTCTCAGGGAAGCAGCTTCGAGACTATAGGGCATGACCACCATCGCATTCGAAGAAATGCCGTCAACCCTTTCTTTTCCAAGCGATCAATTGTTGCTATGGAGCCTCTTATTAAATCGAAAATCAGCTTGTTGTCTAATATATTTCACTCGCATTTCGCGAATCAGGCTCCTGTCAACCTCCGAGTCGTGTTCTCTTCCCTCACTTTAGACGTTATTTCAGATTATTGTTATGGAGAAGCTTTCGGCGCTCTGACTGACAAAAGGCTGGCTGAAATTTGGAGTAATACTCTTTCCCAGGTTATGTCTACAACGACAATCGTTATGCACCTCCCTATAATACCCAAGATTTTGTCTTGCTTACCAGACAGTATGGCTGGGCCAGTATTGGGACATCACAGAGTTGGTCTAAAGATTTCTTCCCATATGTACAAACTGGAGCCTGACCGTTATACTAGAATTCAAGAAGACAGGTGGCGCGTGTTTTAAATCACGAAGATGCTGGATGTCGTCAAAATACAATATTCCACGAACTTCGCGACACTGACATTCTTCCCCCTCAAGAAAAAACCCTTAGTCGACTGGCTGATGAGGGAAATATTCTGATCGGAGCTGGAGGTGAGACAACGGCTCAGACTTTGGCCGTATTGTTTTATCACCTTCTGGATAATCCAAAAATGATATCAAGAATCAAGGATGAGCTTGGCACCTTGGATGAAGACATTACCTGGAAACGATTGGAGAAGTTACCGTTCCTGGTCAGTCAATCCTCGATATTGCGAAATATAGTGAACTGCTAACTCAAATTGTTCTAGTCGGCGGCTATAACCGAAGCATTACGACTTTCAGGTGTAACCTCACGCCTCCCTCGGATCGCACCGAATGAAGATATGAAGTTTCAACAATGGACAATTCCTGCCGGTGTATGTATATACTTTTCCTTTTCTTGTCCCACGATTAATTCCTGTCCCTACTCCCGGAGCGCTCGTCTCATCACTTTCTCTACATTCGCCATGTTCTTCACTTTAACAAAAATCTAGACACCAACAAGCATGTCCTACTACTTCCTCCATCACTCTCCAGAAATCTTCCCCTCCCCTGAAACATTTGACCCCACTCGATGGATCTCAGATTCGAGCTCAAATGGTTCAACCACAGGAGATGCTTCGCGAAAACATAGACTGGACAAGTATTTTGTACCTTTTGGCAAGGGGACGAGAAATTGTCTTGGTATCAAGTATGGGATTGACTATTCTATTTCTCTTTTCCGCTGACCTGACTAACGCACTACCTAAATTAGTCTCGCATATGCAGAATTATTCCTCACAACCGCGTACATTCTCAAGCGCTTTGATTTCGAGCTTTATGGAACTACAAAGAAAGATGTGGAAATCAAGAGGGATCATTTTGTCGGAGCGCCAGCCGCGGGAAGCAAAGGTATCAGGGTGATAGTAAAGGACGATAAGGGGGAGTAAGGAAGTAGCACAGTGCAAGTTTCGTATTGGGTACCTCGCAGCATTGCAGGTGCTCTATATTTAAGAGCTCATCTTCTGGTGCTTTTTGTAGAGCAATGAACGCCTGGATGTAGAGATACCTGAAAAGGATTAGTCGCTAAGTGTCAAGAAGCAGTCTTTTGTGATTGTCTTCCAAGCCACGGTTGCGAAGTCTTTGGGGCTCTAAACATTCAAACTTGATTAAGTGCTTGTCCAGATTCAAGCTACAACAGAGCTCTGCACTGATGGCCTTTGACTTCTTGCAGTAAATAGACTAAATGTATAAAATTCAACGCATCAAGTGGGAAGATATTGTTGAGGATCCAAGATATCTTTGTCGCGAGTCTTGCTCCAGTTTGCGCATTCACACCAGTATAAACACCACCAATAGGATAGTGAGAGGCTTCTATGTTATTAAGACAGACAAGAACTAAAATAGCCAGGTCAAGCGGCGTAGTTCTTTCAAAGGGCATTTTGACAAATGTCCGGATTCTAAGTCAGAAACTGTTGGTACGAGAAGGATACGGAAGACGTAGCACCCACGGATTACGTAGGTCCTGTATGTCTAATTGTATTCTGTCTAAAGAGCTAGCTACATATTGAAAGTAGTAAGTCTTATATAGACTTACTAAAAGAGCTAGTCTCTTTCGCGTTCGCTTAGTTCTTTATTACAGTAGTAATTGAATTGAAGTCATTCACTTCGTTCACACAGAAACCTTATATGTATCGTAGACAAGGAAGTACTGGAGATCGTGGACCGTGGTTCAAGTAAACATGAGCGACACAAGGATCCCTCTGACGATACGAATGTACGTGATAATGAATATAATGAGTTGGATGTAAGAACAAGAGCCAGCTGCCAGAGAGTGTGACAACATATGCACGGGGAGGGCTGATGTCGCCTAATAATGAGCCGTAAATATATAACGCTGGCACCACCGTAGCAGTTCCTCTTCGTATAGCAATTCTTGATGATGGTTCATTCCATAATATCGAGAATCGACCTCGAAGAAAAATTATCTCCGATCCGAAAGGCTGTCGAAACAGCAGTGGGGATCAATGGCTGACAGAGATTCACAAAGAGATTGGACCAGCTTGCCTCCGTTCGTCGATGTTCCCAATGTTCTAATCTAGGGATAGCATTTCCTGCCTCCATCTGCGGTGAAGGCGGGAATTACTTAAATCGGGTTGGCAGATTCTCAAGACTTATAGGCCCAGCAAGCTTGGATCCCCCAGAAAATAAATATTGCAGTTACTTGTTACGAGGTTTGCCGTCTAGATCACGTGGAAGTGCTCTAGGCTCTCGAGGTGGTTTATAACTAGGCGTCAAGCAGGGACTTAAGTAATGACAATAATGATATGCAATTCGTAACTAATAGTAGGATATACTAAATGATTGATCTTGAGCACGAAGCTCTATACAAAGGAAATCCATCTTGGTTATATAGACCTTCATGCTAATCGTCCCCTTGGTCCCCTCGGTCCCTTCGATCAAGAGACCGAGGGGATCGAAGGGACCATGTGATTACATAATTGGTCACATGATACGAGATCCGAAGCCGTCGTAACATTACTCTAGTATCGATTCATGAACCATATATAAGTCTAGTACCCTACTTTTGGACTACCCCTCTTTTAGATCATCTTTTTATATCAAAAATTATTATTTTCAGTTATTAATAAATCAATAATTAATAAATAAAATCAATTGAAATTTTAATTATAATATTTCTATATAAATATAAAAAGATTCGGAAAATTTTAGATTTTTTATGATTTTTTTAATCGATATTTTAAAGATTAAATTTCGATTTTCGATTTATATAGGATTTATTGTCACGAATCATCATCATTCGGATTATTGTAATATAGTGAATATCGGTGAATTGGCTATCGTTTATCGGGGGTTCTTTATTGTTTACGATAAAAAACCTAGGAATCCTAGGACAAATGCTCTAGAATAAAATGTTCTAGGACAAACGTTTTAGGCAACCACAATGAAACAGGACAAGTGTTCTAGAGGGTTAAGGTGAGCTAGAATAATATACATTCTAGGATAAATCGTTCTAGGATGATAATTGCCCCAGAACAATTATCTTAGGAGATAGATTATCCTAAGAAATGAATCGTCCCAGGATTAGTGTTCTAAAACAAATAAAGATCATATAATAAATAAATTGAATAGATTAATCTACAATCCTAATGGTGAATCGTGACACGAAGTGTTACGTAGTAACAGTCAACCTGTCCATATGAGCTTAGACCCCGTGGAAAAGCAAACCGATTCGCATACAATTTTGTATGGTAATCGGTTCGTAGAGTCTCCCCACCTTCAGCAAGCACAGACATATAGTCTGATCCAAGTCACGTGATGGACCCTGCATATTCAGGGATACGAATCGTAGGTCCATACGAATCGTAGGTCCACAAACTCTCAGGACCCAAGAGATCCAATGGAGGACGAAGGTCTATATAATCAGGATGGTTTCCTTTGTGTAGAGCTTCGTGCTCAAGATCAATCATTTAGTATACTCTACTATTAGTTACGAATTGCATTATTGTCATTACTTTAAGTCCCTGCTTGACGCCTAGTTATAAACCACCTCGAGAGCCTAGAGCACTTCCACGTGATCTAGACGGCAAACCTCGTAACAGGTGTGAGGCGTCACATTAGTAAAATCTGAGATTTCAGATTTTACATAATTTTATTGATCGAGATATTAATGATTGAATTTGAATTTTCGTTTTGTATACATTGTAACGATACTATACTGGAGGCAGCGGCTGCCTAAGGTTCGTCTGCTTAGTAGTGTGGGTTAGGCTTATCACTGGTCTCACTTGCAGTGAGTCGTACTAGATCAGTAGATGTAGGTACTATGATACTAGTGAGCACAAGCTCTTACTACGAGACTAAATGAATGTTTATATACCCTATGTCATCTTTTGAGGACCCTATGGACCCTTCGGTCCTCAAGGTCCTCGAGGTCACGTGAATTAATGGATCGTGACAACAATTTATATATAAATTTAAAACCTTTAAAAATCTTGAATAAATGTGACCAAAAGGGTGTTTATAGACCAGCAATTGTATTTAACTTAGAATCTACAGGTGAAGAGCACCTGTAGATGGGGATAGCTACTCTATATATACACAAATGAATGGCCTAGCCGCAATGGCTAGGCAAAAAGAAGTCGTATTTATTCCTCCAATGATCTTACTTTACCGATAACCATTGATACCTAGTACTTGTCCGGATCTGATCCTCAGGTCACCTAAATCGCATACTAATCTCGAGTAATCGTATCATGTGTGGACATGGTTAATGTACCTGAGGTTTCTTATATAATAAAGGTGGGAGGAAAGCAGGGATTTCCGTCACAATAACTTTTCAATAAAAATTACTAAAAATAAATTATAAATTTTTTAAGAATATTGAATCAAATTATTTAAAAAATTATTTTTGTGACGCCTCACACCTCAGGGTCACGTGGCATGCCCCGTTTGTATTTAATCACAGGAAAACTCTCTACTCTTGTTTTCCTTCTTCTTTTCTCCTTAGCTTAGTATTTTCTAATACAAGATACTTTACCCAGTATTCTTGAGTGTGACAACTAACAATTATATAGTAAAATTATAATTCAAATTTTATTCAATTTTATCAGTTAATTATAAAGTTATTAATAGATAAAAATCACGATTTTTGGTGTGCAACGGTGTTCTAAAAGAGGGGTGATGCAAAAATAGGGTACCAGACTTACTGCGAGACTATAGGAACCAGGTAAGGCACTCATTCGCCAGCAACCATGTACTGAATATCAACAAGCAGATTTCAATAGTCAAATCATTGAAGAACATGGTAAGTCGTCTGAATAGGCATGGACAAACTATGATCAAGTTTAAAGGTTTCCATTTGAGCCTCGACTAGAAATTCATAAGTAAACATTGATACAAACCAAAACGAGCTTTTTACATGATGACTAAATTTAGCTAGCCTTAAGTAGGGCTTTACTGCGTTCACGCTCTGCCTTGCTCTGGAAGGCTCTCTTCTTGACGTACAATTTGAGGTTGACTGTGCCCAGCAATTCGTTGAAAAAAGTATGCCACAAGTTCATTCCCAGGGTTCGCTCTGATATGTCTTGATGTGGTTTGAAATATATCTTTCCATCGCTTGTAACAATTCCTCCGAATAGAAGCTTAGGTTATGACAACATAAATGCTGGAGATTTCTCTCAAGAGGTGGGCATATTCATGACATGAGAGATATTGGGTAGAATTGGCTACATCAGGTGCATCCGCATGCGATTTTGAACTGATCTTGTATGGGCCCAGATCTGAGCATGAAAAATCTCAACCCGCCAAAGTGATCTCTTTTAATCATTTCTGAGCTGAGCAAAGAACACTGAGGATATAGGTCATGTGTAAAAGTAATTGCGATATGCAGCAAACTCATTTTGACACCCGTTCTGTGAGAATGCCATGGAGCTGAAAATTTGAATCTAGCGACGGAATAAGCTTCTTGACAGATTTTTCAACTACAATCGTTCTTCATGGCATCTAAGTTGTCCGACAACGGGAAAGAGCATAATAATAATATTGAAACGTTGCCGTGAGCAATGAGTAATTCAGGTGGTGTCGTCCAGTATCTGTTAGTCAATTACCTAGGCATCAGCTGCAGGTGCAGGTGCACCACAGCTATCAAGGCACCTTGATAATCAAACTTGTCTTTGACAACTGAGAGGCGCAGCTCACTCCCTCCGTCTCGAGTCTCCAGTGTTCAGGTATCTTCTATGCCTATATTTATCCATGGAACCAGTGATTTTCCTTGCGCTCATGGTAAGGCAACGTTCCCAGCCACGAAAAGGTAGCTCTTCGTAGCAACAGATTTGCACCTTAGCTTACAAAGAGAAACCTTTTGGAGGTACAAGTAATATAGAAGCGGAGTATGTGGAGCTTTCTCCGCCGCCTTGAACTTTGATTGCCCCTTAAACAGAAAGTGGCTGAACATGAAGCACATTGGTGCCTTATACCACTGTAGCACAGTGTGATATATGATCCCATCCGATAGAGACAAATGGTATGGGAAGTTTCTCGCATGCGTTACCTTATATGACATAGTATAAAGCACTCCGTCAATTTAGCTGGAGCATCATTTGACGCTAATATGCTGCGAGGTTATGGTACTGTCGACTTAGTACCTGTAGCATTAGATTCCTAGTGAATACATGAAAAGATCAAGTTGTGGTTGGAAAGCGGTAAGATATATAAAGTCTGATGAAGCAGCTCCGTCCGTAGCCGTTTTCATTCAGATTCAAGCTATACAACTAACCATTCCATCTCGGATGTCTATGGAGCTCGAACCTTTCCACTCCTTTCTCAAAACCCTTCTGGTCTTGTTTCTTATACAACAGGAGACCCTTCGATAACCATCCATTTAATGCCACAAGTTAGGCTGTTGAACTGATGGCTATTATGGAACGGGCCTACGAGTTCCATCGCCTCAGACTTGTTGTATTTAGGGTAACCGCGCATAAATATTGGACTTACCATGAGCTTTACTCTTGTGCAGCAAAGATAAAATGCCAAAGAATCAATCACAAGTATTGTGTTTTAGGTGTTATATCAGTTCATGGCAATTTCATCCCGAGGATGATGGATTGCGATATTAGGCCTGGCACCAATCCCATGTTCTCTTTGTACCCATTAAACGACATCTCATTATTCCTCAGGAAATATTCGAATCAGTATCGGGAATAGAGCTTAAGGAAGCGTCAGATTTTCGATCGTATGGGTAACTTCAGGTACTAAATGCGCAATCTGATTTGGATCACGCATGGCTATAGTAAGATCATCCGGGGGTTTTCCAGAGTAAAGAAGGTTCTACAGAAACTTAGTAAAGTCATCAGATAAAATGATGGCCAAGTCACCTTTTTGACAGTGTCAAATGCATCCTCTTTCTCAGTGTAGTCCCGGATCACCTTACTTGTGTTAAAGTCGACATATATTCTAGTATCTCTAATCCTAATGAGAACATTATCGAGCCTCATGAATAATCTGCATAGGAGAAGCATTCGATCGGGCATAACCCGTAATTTGCAAGAAAACACGGATATTCCATTGTCATCTAGCTCACTCTCGTACAAGACAACTTCTTCGAAGAACAGGATAGGATCCTGACGTTTCAGAAGTGCAATGGGTATTGGATCAGAGTTATCCAGTGCAAACGGTTTACCACTTGTTATAGTGCCTTTATAATCTGTTGTGTACGACCAGTCGAATGGCTTGATAATTTCTTTGATACCTTCGTGGGTCTTCTCCCTGAACCATGTTAGCGCTGAATGGTGCACAATGAAGCATTTGAAATATTACCTGCTGCTTGACCACTCCTTCGAATAAGCTACTTTTAACATATTCTTGTCCGTCTTGTCAATTCGGTCCAGCGCATCGTATGCATTAAATTCCATGCGCCATCCACTTGCTAGGTGCTCGATTGCAACCATGTTATCGCCAAAAATCATCTCTGGAACGGGTATGCCAAGCTTCTCGGACATCTCCTCTATTGGGCCTGATTTCGATATTGGGAGTTTGCGCGCACTGATCTTGAAGCCCTTTTGAACATGTGATACAGTAGCACTGTCCGCCGCACTGGGCATTGGATAATTCTCATTGATAGGGCCATTAAATGCCATGATTGTAGACTGCTATGAGTTGATGGGATGCAAAAAATGTATGGATTATTCCATATAGTCCAAGTCCAGTTCAACAATAGCTTTGAGTCTGGATCGCGCTCTTTCCACTTCTTCAATTGTGGGCTGATGTGGAATGCAAATTGTTCAATAACAGCTTTGATTCGAGCCGTACTTCGAGTTCAAGTTCGAGTTTCGCGATGGCACTTCTCAGTTTCGACTATAATATGGTACTGTGGTGATGGTGATGAAAGGTAAGATCTACCTACAATTATTGTTGTGCCTGTGGGGTGGGACAAGGCGCTTTAGTGCTTTGGTGCTGTGGTGGGGAAGAGTGCTTAGTCAGCTTGGTCAGTCGGCAAGTGCTCGGATGATTTCATACTCAGTACAAAAGCTTCGTTACTATGTCAACGGAGATTGACCTTAGCGCTCGCTACTTTTCCGCTTTTCTAAATAATAAACTCTCGTCTCCGTCTCGTCTCTCATCTCGTCTCGTTTCGTTTCGTTTCGTCTCGTCTCCTTCAGTCCTTTACTTATCTTTTGGAAATATCAAAAATAATTTTGTTATCATCCACGGCTCTACTAACTGGCAGCCAAATACCATCAACCAAGTAGACCTTTTCAAAGTTTTGACCCGAGTTTTCCTATTAATTCTCGGTTACTTTATAATGGCTTCTCACGCTCTCGAATCGCGCTTTCAGCGGATGTCTGTGAATGATGAAAATGATCCGGGGGAAGGAAAGAAATATAAGACAAAGGTAGGTTTAATCAATTTATCAAATGCGCTGTCGCCAATTGACACCAAGCAGATCACATCTACTACGTCTTCAAATACACAATTATCACAAAATGCCAATCGAGCAAACCTTCTCAAGCTCGCCTTACAAAATAAGAACACATCAAATACAAGCACGACTGTCACAAATGCTAGCAATTTATCCCATGAATCTGTTTCTCCTTCAAGAAAGCCAGCTACGTCCTCTCGAGAATCGGAGCAAATGGCTAAAGTCGAGCGCAAATCGAACTCCATTTACCAGGAACCAGCTCCGGCAAAACAATTTCACCTCGGGATGTTTGAAATTGGCCGACCGCTGGGCAAGGGAAAATTTGGTCGTGTGTATCTAGCAAGAGAGCGAAGTACTGGATTCGTTTGTGCCTTGAAAGTCCTACACAAAAACGAGATACAAAAGGGCAAGGTAGAAAAGCAGGTCCGGCGGGAAATTGAAATTCAAAGTAATTTACGGCACCCAAATATCCTCCAACTATATGGCCACTTCCATGACAGCAAACGAGTCTTTCTGATCCTAGAATTTGCTGGCAAGGGAGAACTCTACAAGCATCTTCGGAGGGAGACGAAGTTTCCGGAATGGAAAGCAGCTCAATACATTGCGCAAATGGCTGCGGCATTGAAGTATCTCCACAAGAAGCATGTTATGCATAGGGATATAAAACCAGAAAATATACTTGTTGGTATTCATGGCGAGCTTAAAATTGCAGACTTCGGTTGGAGTGTCCATGCGCCTAACAGCAGAAGAGCTACCATGTGTGGAACTTTAGATTATCTTCCACCTGAGATGTTGCAAGGAAATAGCAACTACTACAATGAGAAGGTTGATTTATGGAGTCTGGGAGTTTTGATGTATGAGTTCCTGGTTGGCGAAGCTCCTTTTGAAGACACCCCAGTCATGACACAGAGAAGGATAACAAGATGTGAGATGACGATTCCAAGCTTCGTGTCCTCGGAAGCAAAGGATCTGATTAAAAGGGTATGGCCAACTTCTTCTTACCACTGATTACACACTAATTCCCAACGTAGTTGCTGGTACTTGACCCCGAAAAAAGGATTCCTCTCGAACAGGTTCAGAAGCACCCTTGGATCATCAAGCATTGCGTGAAGGGGGAGCGGGCTAGTATGCGGGATTCAAAATCCACTGGCAGCAAATCTTCACTGGACTCCAGTGACGAATGAATGACGAATCGTGTTTTGAGCATTGGCGTTTGTGGAGCAGATTGTCTAGTTGAGGTAATTCTCGAGATTGAGTTGAATAAGGTTTTGGAGTTTGCATCTAATCTTTCCTATACGCCGGCGCCCATCTTGATATACATTTCTATACCCAAGTACTTAGATACTGAATACGATTATTTAACAACCCAAAGTTATCATATATTACATGGGCATATCTCATGAAACGACCTCACTTGTAGATCTCGTCAAAGGGTCGAGTATCCGAATAACACGAATCCCAAACCTCATTTACTACCTTCACGGCTTGAACATCGTCCTTACACCATGGTCTAGCCAACACTGACTTGACTGCTCTCCTGCGGACGCATTCCTGATGTTGTTGTGTTACCCTGTAATTATTCCTCGTCCAGAACTCTCTCGTCCATCTACATTCTCCACTCAGGCTTGCTGCTCTGATCTATGCCATTGATTAGCTTTCTACTGCTAGACTGATTCTAGTCCAGCCAAAACGGCGGATACAAACCTCCGAACAAGCTGCATGTCGCAGATCCCCCCAGTCCACCTTCCATCTTAGATGATCCCACGCATGAACCATTTCATGTGCTAACGTATCCTCCACATGTTTACTATCCCTCATTTCATTCGCACATAATTGAATTCCATGCTCAGGGCTGAATCCTCCACCCTGCCTCACCATTTTCCCATCTTCTGTGATTCGTGTGGGACATCTCCTGCAACGTATATTATCTGCATCGAGCTTTCCGTTTAGATCACGGATGTTCTTTTGCATGAATATGACAATCGGCGAATATTTTAAGTTATAATCTCGCCATTCTTCACATTTGTCGCAGTCGCGCTTCTCGTGGCGGGCGTATTGGTCTTCGCGATAGAGGATCTGGTGGGATGGAGGCATTGTACCAAGAAGGATGGAAAACCAATTGCGTGTTCGGGCAGTTGGGTCAAATTGCGGCTCAGCATCCTTCGCAAAGTCCGAAGCAGTCGGTGGCTTATTATCGTCTGTAGATGCCATCGTGAAGATGAACTTGTAGTATACTTACGCCCTGCGATCTACCAATGCAGGGCGCTCGCTGTTGATTTGACATCTTGAGCGAAACAACTTTTCTACGGGCGGTGTAAAATTCTGCCAAATGCTAATCGACATACCACCGGTGGACTTCTTTGATGCCACATGCAGCTCATACAGCATTTTATGTCCTCTAAACCGGAGTCTAAAATTAATTTTTGAACTTAGACAAGATGAAAAGCCCAAAACCTTTAACTATCGTCATAAAACTAGGTATTAACAAGCTCTTCTCTTTTGATGCCAGAAGCTGAGTCACGGGGTGTTAATAGGAACGAGTTCCATTGTGGATGAGAAAACTCATGAGCCATTATTGAGTATATTAAGTTTGATTGTAGAAACTGCGGTGAAGCTTCACAAGGATGGACATAAAGTCATTATCGTGTCTTCCGGGGCGATTGGAGTCGGGCTGCGCAGAATGGACCTGGACAAGAGGCCGAAACATCTTCCTCGAGTACAAGTATGTCATATTCGGAGTAGCTGCTCGGGTCGATATTTAATTGATGTTCGTGGGTCTAGGCTTTAGCAGCAATAGGACAATGCCGTCTCATAAGTCTATGGGACAGCTTGTTCGCACATTTACAACAACCTGTTGCACAAATTCTGCTTACGAGAAACGATATTGCGGATGTAAGGTCTCCACGCTTGACTCACTTTATGTGACTGACACGAATAGCGAACGCAATATCGAAATGCTCAAAATACGTTACATGAGCTCCTTGAAATGGGGGTCATCCCGATTGTTAACGAGAACGACACCTTGGCTGTGGCTGAAATCAAATTCGGGGACAATGATACCCTATCCGCAATTACGGCCGCTATGCTGCATGCAGATTACTTATTCCTAATGACTGATGTGGATTGTCTTTATGATAAAAACCCTCGGACACATTCAGATGCACAAGCAATTGAGGTTGTTGAGGATATCTCCGCTTTACAGGCCGATGGTAATTATTTCCGCATTCACTACTTAATTCCCTCTGTTCATAATCACAAGTTAATAATCTATCGTCTTCAGTATCAAGTGCGGGCTCTAGCCTAGGTACAGGTGGAATGTCTACCAAAATAGTCGCTGCCCGTCTCGCCACCTCTGCAGGTGTGACGACTGTCATAACACGCTCCTCAAGCCCTGGAAACATTGCTAGCATTGTGCGCTATGTTCAATCCCTCAAGACTTCTTCCTCTGGCAGCAAGGTTGGTGATGTTATTCCACCATGTCAAACACCGGAAGCTCTTACAAGGTCCAATTCGACACTATCTATTACTGCCGCAACCTCATCATACGTTGAGACACCTCTACATACCAGATTCCTTCCATCACATCAGCCAATTCGGGACCGCTATTTCTGGCTTTTACATGGACTTTCTCCACATGGAACGATTTATATTGATGCTGGTGCTCATCGCGCGTTGGCGGCTAAAGCTGGTCTCCTTCCTGCTGGCGTTGTAGATGTCGAAGGCACATTCGCGCAACAGGAGGCTGTGCGTCTAGTAGTTGTTGAGCGTCCTATATCACCCGATGCAAAGATTACCGAAGGAACGGGAATCGAGGTGGGTAGAGCCTTAGTAAACTATAGTGCGATGGAGATTGCCAGAATCAAAGGTGTGAGGAGTAGTGAGATACATGGATTGTTGGGCTATGCAGACAGTGAGTATGTGGCTTTAAGGGAGAATATAAGCTTCTTTGAAAGAGGGAGTAGAAGTGCAACGCCAGTTCTTGCTTGATTAAAGAATATAATTATATTAAATAATGAAAAAATAGACGTCAATTAAAGAAAAAAAATAACATATATTAAATTATATTTTTTATATATCTAAAGATCAGAAGATCTTTTTGAAACTTAATATATTAGAAATAAATTATTTAATTAAAAACTTAAATTATTTTTGAAAACAATAAATTTTCTTTGATGGGATTTACTTTTTTAAAATTCCAAAGGATCTTATTGTAACGATACTGTACTAAAGGCAGCGGCTGCCTAAGGTTCGTCGGTTGGTAGTTATAGGTTAAGGCTTTATCACTGGTATTCACTTGAAAGTGAATTCGTTACTAGATCAAATAGAATGTAGGTAAACTAATTGATAACTAAGTTGAGCACGAAGCTCCTAGGGCTCCTTATCACGTGATTTCTGATGGTGCGTGCATACACGATCTTCAGGTGACCAAGATCACATACTAATTCGATGAAATCTGATCGTGTTTGCACAAGGCCTAAGCTCTCCTAATTAATCAGTTTGCTACCATCGTAACACCATCAATCCTAATGGTGAGTCGTGACACTTATAGTCTTTAATAATTATTACAGAATTTATATAAAGGAATCAGAACTATTTTTAAATATATTTAATATAAAAGGTTTTTTTTGAAATAAATCTTTACATTAATGATTCAAATCTAATTTTCCTATATTTATTTATATTTATACATTTCAATATAAATATTAAATATCTTTTTTTAATCTATTTTATTATTTTATTTATTAATTTATTATTATAATAGTTAATTATTAAAGATTAAAAAATGAAATTTCTTTTTAGATAACGTAACGTATGGGGAACTCGGACACTTTTTGCCCATCGCCAACTTGAAACCCTAATAACTTTTATTATGTATACCCAATCACCTTTTACACCTGCTCAGATTGAAGAGAAGCTTCAATAGGCTATAGTTGCACTTTAATTAAAAGAATTTAAATCAATTAGAAAGGTTGCAGAGCATTTTGAAGTCCCTAAGTCCACTTTAGCCGATAGGCTGGCTGGGAAGAAAACACGTTCCCAAACCCACGAAATGGTTCAAATTCTTTCAAACACAGAAGAAAATACTCTTGTACAATGGATTTCACAATTCACAATCATTGGATTCCTTATTATATCTATATTAATGAAGGAAATAGCTGACGAAATTCGTCTTTAATACATTCAGATTGTATTATCTCGAATTCCTATTTCGATAGAAATTCTATCTATAGGCTACGAATGAATCTATAGATTCCAAAAACGATATCCAGAACTTAAAATATACTATTTATATCAATTAGAGTTTAATCAGATTAAAGAGACAACTCTAGAGAATATTCAGATTTGGTTTGATATATTTTATATATATCTCATTAAACAAAAATATGAATTAGATAATATATATAATATGGACGAAACCGGATTTGGAGTTGGAAGTATTCAAAGTATATGTATTATAATCGATTCTATTTAGAAATCAAATTAGAAAATTATAGCTGGCAAATAAGAATGGATAACTATATTTGAATATATTAATACAATTAGAAAGGCTTTATTATCTATAATTATTTTTAAGGCTTAAAATACGAATTCTATATGGATTCCAAAGGATATACCTTAAAGCTAGTAGTTCTCTACTAGTACAAATGGATGAACCTCAAATAATCATAGATTAGAATAATTAAAAAGGGTTTTCGAATCAGAATCCAAGAAAGTGTCAGGTAACCGACCTCGATTTTTGATTATAGATAATTATTCAAATTATATTATAGATAGCTTTATTGTTTTCTATATAAAGAAAGATATTGATTTATTTATATTATCTTTTTATTGTTTTTATTTGCTTTAATTATTTGATATTGTAGTATATAGATTAATGAAACAATATTATACTTTAAAGGTCGATCGATATTCTCGAATTAGTGTAAAGCGAATTCAAAGAGCTGAATAGGTAGAACTCTTTCAAAATATTAGAAAAAAAGCATTGAATTCTTCTAATATTAAAGCTGGTTTAGTACCTTTTGCTTTACGAAAAGTACTCGATATATTATCATTTAACTTTTTTCAGTAATCTTCTACTTTACAAATAAGAATCCTTAATCAAGACCTAGACTTATCTGTACTCAGAAGTTCTCCTTCAGATAGGACAAAACTAATGCAAGCAAATCAGATCTTTAATATAGCTTTAGCAAATAATAATTCTTCTATATTATCAATTCGTTAATATATCAAGAGAATGATTAAGCTTGTAGAATCTCAAAATGTTGAGATAGCCTTATTTCGGAAACAGCTCGCTGATGCTCAGGAAGTAATTGAGACTTGAAAAAAGAGAACTAAAGACAAAAGAGTCAAATTACAAGATCAATTTGTCTTTAATATTAAGAAAATACTGAAAATAGTATATAAAACAAAGGAAAAACTTAAGGAGAAAAAGTTATAAGGACGATTATGTAAATGCCTAATTGAAGAATCAGAAGAAGAGATTAAAGAAGAAGAGTTAAAGAATAATTCAAATGATTCAGAATTGAAATTGGAGGACTGTGTGGCTTGTAGAATAAGATCGCGTGTAGAATAATTGAAAAAGTGTCCGAGTTCCCCATATGTCCGAGTTCCCCATACGTTACGTTATATTTTTTATTATTTTTTAAAATGATTTTAAATAAAATCATTTATTTTTATTAAATATTAAAAAGATATTATAATATTTTTTATAATAATATCAAATAAGTCTAATACTCTACTTTCCAGCCACCTCTAATTCCGGTGACCTTTTTATATTAAAAATCGTGATTTTTATCCATTAATAATTTTATAATCAATAAATATAATTTAATATAATTTAAATCATGATTTTACTATATAATTATAAATTAATTCTGAAAATTTTAAATTTTTTGAATTTATTTTATTGAGATATATAATCTTAAACTTTTTGATTTTTGAATTATATAGGATTCATATATAAATTTAAAAAAATTTAAAATCTTAAATAACTTTTCAACAAAAATTATTAAAAATAAACTATAATTTTTTTTGAGTATTTATATTATAATTGATCGGATAGATCAATTTATTTTAGAAAATAACTTACAGAAATTCTATTAATCAAAATATTCTAATGTTTATTTTTTATAAAATCTAAAAATATTAATAAAAGACTTTCTATATATTTTAAAATTCATACTTCTATTCTATTATATTCGATTTGATTTGAAGATTTCAAAAAAAATTTATAATTTATTTTTTATAATTTTTATTGAAAAGTTATTAAAGATTTTCAAGATTTTCAAGTTTATATATAAATCCTATACAAATTGAAAATCGTAATTTCAATCATTTATATTTCAATTAGTAAAATTGCAAAAAATCTGAAAATTTCATGATTTATTGATATCTATATAATAAATCTATAGTCCAAATTTTATTGAATTTTATTCATTAATTGTAAAGTTATTAATAATTGAAAATTACAACTTTTGGCGTAAAAAATGGTTGGAAATAGGGGGTGGTCGGAAAGTAGAGTACTGGATTTATATTTAAATCATTTTAAAATAAACAATATCAATAAAAATTAAAACTAATATATAAAAAGTTCATAAATAAAATACCATTCTTAAATTAATTCCCAAAAACAATTTTGAAATATTAAGTCTAATACCCCACTTCTCGGTTACCCCTAATCTCAATCACCCTTTTATACTAAAAATCGTGATTTTCACCTATTAATATTTCAATAATTGATAAATTAAATCGATTTAAATTTTAAATATTTATTAAATCATTTTTATATAAATTAATATTAGAAATCTAAAGATTATTATAATCAGAAATCTAAAGATTATTATAATCAGAATTATAATGTATTAAATATAAAAGTAATTTATTTAAAATTCAAATAATAATATTTCAATTTTAATAAATCTGTTCTTTCATATTAACAATATTAATATAAGAATTTAATCTTTTTGAAATAGAATTTAATTAATAGAATTTTTTTTTTATTTCTTTAGATTATAAAAATATTAATATAAAGACCTAATGTTTTCAAATAGAACCTAGATAAT